ATGCGCAAAACTCCGCATTTGAACAGTCAATAGCAAATACTTAAACTAATAACAAAACAGTAGCTGATTCAGAAGCGCCAGATTGTCATAGCAAAGTCAGAATTACCTCCTCTCCTAGGTTTACGAAACTGTCGTCCATAAAATGCATTGTTGTTCTGTTGTAAGCAATCTTAAAGATTTCTAAATGCATCTACTTCCGGAAGGCCAAATAAAGAGATTTTGCTTTCGCCTAGAAACACACAGCGTCTCCCTGACATGGCTGCTTCAACACTAACTACGGTTCCTGAAACCACGCCTTCTTTCTTTGCGTGCACATTTGGGTGGAATTATGTTAATATTTCCACATAGTGAGGTAGATATGTGGGGGCGTGTTAGAACGAGCCGTTTTAGGGGGGCGTGGCAGAGTCTTAACTTTGATAAAGTATATCTCTTTGGTTTTGAGACTTTAGTCTTTGCAACTTCAGGGATCTTATCTATGCACAATCAGCTTGTAACACTCCAAAGAGAAATAAAAACTTGAAATCGCATCATATGACCCCTTTAAACATTTTCCATTTGTCCACTAATTTATTTTATTTATTTGCCTGCTTTAATCACATGTTTAATTATTTCTATATGTATTTAAACAATAATTTGTGTATTTATACAGACATTTATTTATTTGCGTATTTATTTATTTTTTTGTGTATTTATTTATTTATTGTTTTTGCAGGTTTCGTCCTCCATAGTGGAGCAGGTGAAGAGGCATGGGCCTACATAAAATAATTAGGTAAAATAATCAGGAAACCCCTTTATCTTAAAGTGTTACAGAGTAAAAAGACTCAACTAGTCTCTTAACTTTCTAACAGTATAGAGCGGAAAGGGACTTACGTTTGCTAAGGTCCCTCCCTCAGTCCGCATTAGAGCGAGAGTTTGCTCGTATGTCAGAGGGACTATGGTGGAGGGCTGGTGAAGACGATGGCAGCTCTTTGCGAAGATGGCACATATGGACTCAACTGTGGCCGCAAGAGCGACAGAATATCAGTTTTACATGTTAAACTGACAGAATCCACCTTTAAAACGCTAGAAAACTACCAAAACTGTAAGGTGAGTGTTGGAAAATGTACAGTTTCATGGAGAGAAAGGGAGAGCGAGAGCTTGCTCGCCCAAAAAGAGGCATTAGATGTATCAAAAATTATGTTTTATTCCTTTCTAAGCAATGCAACATCTTAAAAAAAAAAAGTTAATAAACGTTTTCAGTTGGCTGTTGTCCGTGTAGATTGATTGCAAATGGTTTTTAAAGAAAAAAAGACTTCTAGGGAGTAAACATTATGCGAACACACCGTTAACATGCTAAAAACTCTTTGCATTTAATTACAACTCTTAAAAACCACATTTCTTAAATGTTAATACATTTATGAAGTCTCAGCGATTGTAAGAGCTTGTATTAACAGGGTAAAGTTGAAATCGTTGTGTTAGCTCTGTTTCATTGTGTTTTATCCTCGAAAGATGAGCTACAATGCTAACAGTTCTAGAAAACTTTCTCTTCAAACTAATAACGTCGATTAGATTGTCTGTCATTTCGACGTCTTGATCGTTTTAGTTAGTTTACAGTCTCTTTAAAGTAAATGTTTAGTGTTACATGCGGGAAAGCCTTTGGAATTGACGAAAATTAAAGTTTGGTGAGCTAAGTTAGCTGATAGCATGGCTAATGTTACTAGCTGGCAGTCCTCCAACAATGATTAAGTTCATAAATGTGGCGACGTTTTTGTAATTTGTTTTACTTTCATGACTTTTAGTTCAAATAAACATGGATTAGAATCACAATAAGACCAAATCAGATATATGGTTGTCTAACTAACGTCTAAATATGGTTGCTTCGCTAGCTAGTTAGTTATGAAGTCCCATAAACACACCTGAGTTTAATGTGTTTTATTAAAACAAATCGTGTCGTTTTATGTTATAATCTTCGTTTATCATGCACTATCTTAAAAGGTTATCTTAACTCTGGTTCAGAAAGGAATATTGTTTTATGTGTGGCATGGTGACTAGCCTAAGTGGGGAAACCCTTTACTTTTGCTTATACAGTTTTAATAGTGCACAAATCATCTTCCTTCCATGTAATTTTGATCAATTTTCTGAACTAGGTCTGACCACAAGGTTTGCGTATGATTATTTCCATTTGGGTCATTCAAGTGAGTAGTAACATAACGTGTGAGTTAGATTTGTAAAAGTGTAATGAATATATGATTGTCAATATGGAAATTGATAAAGAAGAAAAAAAAACTTCTGGGTATTTCTATTATTTCGAAAGGCTGAAGGAGTTTCCATTGGCTTACTAGGAGAAATCAGGCAGCTTCAATGAAGAGCTGCATTGTCTGGATTTTTTTTTAAAGCTCTACACTGCTCACAAAGTGCTTACAAGGCAGTGTTTGACTTAAAGCTACAGCTGGCTCGTTGTAAAAAAAGAGAAAAAAATTGCACTGGGTTCATAGAGATGGTTCATTCGGTCCCGAAAGGCCAAATCCTGGTAAACATTTAGGCCCGAGATTTGCTTTGGGTTGTGGATGATTGGACATTCACCCCATGCATCTAATCCGGGTCACCTATACAGATGAAGTCAACCCATTTTGTTTAGAATTTCTCTTAAAAGAGTTAAGTTGAACCTTGAAGCCTGTTTGAGACTAAAATTAGCTTAGTAATCCATCAAGTTCCTGGCTGCTTTAGACTGGCACTGTTTGTCTTTGCTGATTAGGGCTTGCAGTTTGGTTGACACTCAAAATGTTACAACACACCATCGGGGAGAGCTCACGAACAAATCACATGCCGTTCCATTGAAATTATCTAGCACGATTATAGTATTTATTATTTTTTACATTTTAATTTTTTCTTTTTATATGTTCAGTTTTTGTTTTTAACTTTAGTTTAAGTATTAGTAGTTTTATGTGCTTTTGAAATTTTTTTGTATTGGTTTGTTTTCGTTAAATGTCTATTTTTTTTGTCATTTTACTAACCAAGTAGTTTTTTTTTAATCTAATATATACATTTCTTATTGCAGCTTTATTTCAAAAAACAATTTTTAGTAGTTTTAGTTTTTCATTCAAAGCACATCCCGTTCAGTTGATGTTATCTAGCATGGAAGTATTCGAAAAATCTTACAACAAAATATTAAAGGGCTGCAGAAGGTTACATTTCAATCGTGTTGTGTATTAAGTGTCATGTTGGTGTAAAGAATGTAGTGATCATATCCTGCAGGGCTTAGCGTCCTCCTATAGTAATCGGATAGTAATACCTGTCTTACCTTTGGCAAAATAGACAGAATGCTTAATGTTCTTGAAGTATCTCCAGCTAGCTTGATTGACTGATAGAAATTTGGGTATTATTATTATAGCACATGTTGTCATGTTCCAGATCTGTTTGTCTTCTAGCTACCATTCTCAGCTGAGCTCGTGGTTAATCATTATTCATCTTTCGGCAATGGGACAAGACAATCGGGGCAAAGACAGGGAATGTTGTGAACCTCAGCAATGATCCTGGAGCCGTGCCTTATCTTTCGCATGGCTCTAAATGTTGACAATAGATCTTTAATTGCTGAAGTGTGTCTGTAGATTCATTTTTTTTAATGTTTGATTCACTAAGGAAGCTGTTTAACTGAGTTGTCTGTTTGTCACATGTAATTATTTGTGGTTAAGGCTGGTTTTTATGTTGGACAAAGTTGTTTAAATGTAAAATTACAATGAATTGCATTGCCTAACAACATGCAGATTTATTAACTTATGTAATGCCTGGTTACTATCCTAACTATGCATGATTATATGTAAAGTTGCATTTTATTATTTGCATTTAGCATTGTGTTCGTGACCCTGTCAATACAGATGTCCAAACCGTTTTTGAGTGTTGAGAACCACTGGTTTAGGCTTCCAAATCATCAGAGTGCTTAATCGTAGTTCTTCGTACTCCTGTGTAATGTGATCTGATCTAGTCTGTGTGCAAGTGTGCTTGGGGGTGGGGGCTTGTGAAACTTATCTGGTTAAACAAGCCTTTGCAGATGGAGGAGGCTTTGGGCAGTATTTGAATTTAAACAAAGGTGTATGGTTGCAGGGATGTGAAGGGTTTGGACAATGTGTGATGAATTCAGGTAAATTGGGACATTTTGCCATTGAGATTACTGGGAAAAAATGTCACAGTTTTCCTGAATTCACCTCTATTTTTTTATGTACTGTATAAAATCACGACTGACCATGTTTTCTGTTCCAATGGATATGGAAGGTCAAGTTGAGTGTATTGCATTGTGGGATATTTCTTAGAGTGTGGTCTGGTTGTAAACTGCACATTTTAGGCCCTGCTTGTATTCCATGCATGCAGAAAATCCACATACTGTAACTTTTCACAGTATTCATGCAACATGCTGGAGATATAGTACTCCTAGTATGCTATTCTTGTATTATAGTTGCACTAATCTTGTTTTTCTTAATTATATTAGCAGATGCCCATTTGGTTGCTTATATTTGATGTTTGGATGGATACATTAGTTGTTTGTTAACATTTGAATATTCTCATCTTTTTCAGAATGCACGGTCCTCACAGGCGACGATACGTTTTCAGGGTCTTCAAGGGGTAAGTTGACTTCAGATTGCGTTAATATGATTTTTACAGAATCTGAATGAGTATCATCGCTGGCTGAGGGGTGGGAGTTACTCATCAAAGCACTCTATAATTGTGAACCTGGTGTCTTAATAGAGCCCTCAGCCCTCTGTGGTTTTATTGGGCGGCGTCTGACTTTTCCACTGTGAAAGTGCCTGTTTAAACTCTGACCCTGTGCAACATGCTGTAGTTTACTTCAGATGCAGTGTGACTATAAATACTGGGTCGGCGAGTAGGGTTCTGGTTTTATGCTCATGAATGCTCTCTCTAAAGACATGGTGTGCTTAACTACTGTCTATGCTGCAGTCGACATGTTATTACAAAGCTCTGACTGAGCTGACACCATGAGTCTGTTTCAAAACCTAGGCAGCCATCTTCCTTCATCCATCAACAGTGATGGATCATCATAGGTGAATCATTTGAAATGCTCTACATGGGCGGCAGTTCCCTTAAATGTCAGTCAAGCGCATCACAAATATTACTCTTCATGAGAACTGCACAAAAGACTTGACCAATGCTAACGGTTGATTCCAGTAGAGCTTTGCATTAGCATCTTGCTAAACTAGTAACCCTAAACTCACAAAATGCATATATGAAATTACTGGGTGATTAGCAGTGTTATTTTAGTATTATTTATGTTCTATAGTAGTATAGTAATGTTTTTTTTTATATTTTTCAGTAAATTTATATTGCAGGTTTTTATTTTGTGACATGCTTTTATCATTTTATTAGTTTTTATTTAGTTAAATATTATATATTTAGCTTTTTTTTTCTTTTTTTTTTTTAAAGTTTTAGTAATTTTAGTTTCTCAACTTTATTAGTACCTCAGTTAGTTGCCAACGCAACATTTCTATTTTTCATTTATTTTTATATTTAGATTTTATTTCAGCTTTTTATTTCAAATTGATCAAACAAAGCATATTTCTTTAAAATGTGAAGTGTGAAACCAACAAAAGACACCTTTTTACTGTCTAGGTAGCTCACTTTGATTAGCTAAGCTGATATAATTTTTTTCATGGTTACCTCTATTAGCACTTAAAATAATTACATTTTGTTTTATCTCTGCCCTATCAGCGCATTAAAATCCCAACAACAGACACTTCCAATGGCTTTCAGAACTTCGACTTTTACCTGTCCAACTTTGGCAAAGACAATCCTCAAGGAAGCTTTGAGTGTATCCACCAGTACATATCTAGGTAAGGGCTGAGCAAGTTTCTTGTGCGTCAAAACTACTGCTCGTTTTGTTGTTGTTTCTCATTTTTTACTACTTTTTCTGCCTGTTAGCTCTGGGGTCCCCCATCTGTCCTCCCTGGGAACGATTCAAGACAAAATCACAGTATGTGCCACCAATGACTCCTACCAGGTGACCAAAGAGCGTGTGACCAAATCAGAGGACGATAAAAGCAAAAACAGCACCAAATTCATCAGACCTGGAGGACCGTTCAGAGGTTTGATATTAATGCACTGTATTTTATCTCTTATAACATGCACACAAACACATTCTGGTCAATGATAGTAGGAGAGTACCCAGTATTACATTAATCCAAAGTTAAAAATGACTATAGGTCAGCAGTTTCAAGTGTGAAATGCTCTCTATCCAGTTTAATTTAGCATTTTCAGCGTTTCCGTTTCATTTCTGGTTGGTGTTTCAAACTAAACGTTTCGGTTTCAAAGAATCTTTCTATGCAACTGATTATTATCTTCACAGGATGGGGGTTTCTTTTCAGTTTCTGTTTTCATTTCCCAATTTAGATCTGCGTGTAGTACAACGTTACATGAATTTGCTCATTTCTAGATTGAAATAGACTAATAAAGGTGTCATTTGTGATCTCACATCATGCCAATCTCCTCATATTTTTCACGTTGACCTGTAACGCTCGGCCAGTTCAGTTGTAACTGTCACATGACCGTGTGCATTAAACCAGTTGGGAGCTTTACGGAGAGTGATGTATGGATTAGGGTCAAGAGAAAAAGCAAAATAAAAGTTCATCCTATTTATCTGATGTGGGTAAGTCGTGGCGCAAACCATGTCTCCGAGATTACCAACGTGCCCCACATAGAGATGTGTGGAAATGGAAAGTGACAGACTAAATCTTTCAGGCTATTGTCACCTGCTTAGGTTGTTTAATGAAATCAGCATTTTTTGCATTTTAAAAAACTGCAGGGGGGAGACAATGCTGCAACTCCAGAGACCTGTTTTATCTCATGTTTTAAAAATGGTATCACCATTTAGGAAAAAAGGAGAACCCTTGAGGGTTTTTAGAGTGGCTTTAACTAACACTCAAATACAGCTCATTATATTTCACCCCTGCCAGACAAAACCGTTCTCTCAGCACCTGTTCAGCTGTCACTCCCCTCTGGGAGCCCCCATTCTCAGGGGCCACAGCTGGCTTCCACCGCAAAACTGGAAAAGTCAGTTTCACCCCCATCCCTCGGCACTAAGCCGCAGGGGAGGAGTGATCGGATTTTGCACAGCAAACGGAAGTGCAAGAAAGAGGGTTTGTGGCGTAAGGCTTTGCAGCAGCTGGTTCTCAGGAAACCACAGTACACTCTTTTGCCTGTGTGTTTAATCTGAGAGACACAAGCAAGAGTTCGAAATGGTGCACATTTCCCATATAACCCAGAGATTAAGTGATCTTCCCTTCCTTGATTCCTCCCAGTCTGCCGTTCATGTGTGTTGGCCAAAGCTTATTATCCACTGACGTAAGGGTTTCACCTGACTGTCAGGAGGTGAGACAGCAAAAGTTTGCATCTGGATGTCGTCCAGTCATCGGCACATGTTTGGGCAAAACGAGGGAGAGTTCGTAAGAGAAAGACGTAGGAAGTAGGATGGCAAAAGAGTCGATACCCTTAATCTTTTAAATGGCTTTTGAGGAATTTCATAATAGAGGAAACTTTTCTGTGACACTTAAAACTCTGAAGTATGTACTTCAGTATTGTTTTGAGAATATTTAGGGTGTAGAGATGAAAAAGTATCGGCACTGTACATTGATTCTAAAATAAACACTACTCCATATGGTATCAATGTACTTAACATCTGACTGATGTGGCTATTTTCGAATACTCTAAAAATACTAAAGCAGCATGCTATTAAATTTAATTTGGCAAGATTAAATTTGCAACTTCAGTTTTGCATTCGTTGATTCTCTTCCGAGGTTTACAGTAGAGAGATGGTGCAAGCATGAGGTTTTGTAGGCAGCATTAGACACCAATAGAAATTGTCATCTGGATACTTGGTTTAGCATTATTCCTAATCTTGCATACAGTATAGAATGGGGTAGAATGTGAATTAAGCCCTTGAGTACATGGTCCACCACGTATTATATACCAAATTAAAGCACATCTTAATGATACATCTTTCACTGTTGTGACCGCTCTGTCTCCCTGTGAATGTCGTTTTGACGTAGACAAAAAAGTCCAGCACCGAAAACCGGCCCCCTCAGCCCCCGACCCAGTTCCAGAGAGGAAGCAGACCACCCCCCTCAACCCAGCCAACACCATCCGCAAGTGCCTTACCAACAACCCCGTATCGCAACGGCCATACCGGGACCGCGTCATTCACCTTTTGGCCCTGCGCTCTTACAAGAAACTAGAGCTGCTCGGCAGACTGCAAAGAGATGGCCTCAGCCAGAAAGACCGCAACTCTTTGGGCTCTACACTACATCAGGTAAGAGTGAAGTTGTGGAGTGGAATCAGTTCACTTCTCAGAATTAAAGCAACCATTAAGTTCAATCCACAGCAGGTGTAATGTTATGTAATAAAACACAAGTTTTAACAGAAGACTTCCTTTTTAAGTGCCCCACTGTAACCTCAATTTTTAGTAAAATGCAATCAAGAGCATCTAACTTGTATTTAACCTGAATTATTAGTTTAATGTTTAAAGAACAAGATGGAAAAACTCGAAAGGCATTAATGACACTCAACTTGCTGTGCAAGTTCTCTCAATGCAACTTGAGGACTGTCATAATCATACATATTAGTTCACAATAGGTCACAGAGAACCATAGATAGCATCAAATAACAGCTGTAATCTAGCTACAGGCTCACAACACTTTCACAGGAGCACTGTGTCACGTAATGCAAGTCACCATTTTACAGCCCGAACACAAAGACATGAATTCACCTCAGGTGATTGTATGGCACGCGGCAAATTAGACAACCATAAATTAAACCTAAGGTCCCATATTGTCAAAACTGAAATTTCCTGGCTTTTTTCATGATAACTGAGGTCTAGGTGCTATGTAACTGCCATATAAGTTTCAAAACAGTCAGTCCACAGTAAAATGCACACAGCCTGCTAACGTAGCTGTGATTTTTCACAAACCGTTGTGACTTCCGTAAAAAGTTGATGTCAGAACTACACGGTCACCACCTTCAGTCACCACCCCGAGCAACGCCCACTGTCCCACTCTCCTTTTGCCAAACCTCCAGACAACATCACGTCCATGCTATTGCTGAGCAACGACACGGAAACATGTCGAAAAGGTTAACTTTAACCACGAAACCAGATCGGCCGACCTGTAACGTTACACTCTCACTCAAAGGATGGACGATCTGACAGGATTGTTACTATGAAGGGGATCACATCTAACGTGTATAGTAAAGACAAACTCACCATGTCTATCTAGTCATGATGAAGATGTATATACATTTCAATTTCAGCAGGCAACTATTTTTACAGCTACATTATTGTTCCAGCCACAATTAATCAATTATGATCAAATGATTATTTATAAATTGTCAGTTTGTTTTATACACATGCATACAGACATTATTTCATACACGACATAATCGTGAGATGCAAGAAACGTAGACATATGGCAAGAAATCTGTAGACGCGCCCATAACAACGAAATACAATACTTTATTTAACCTTTTCTGATAAGAAGTGTGCACTGCAAACGCGAGCCTTTTTGACGATAGTTTCTGTCCTGTCTGCTCGTTTTATCGCATTTAACCACAACTGTCATCGTTTTTTTGGTCTGGCAGTTTCCCCTTTGTTTTGCTGCCTCCAGCTAGCGCTGTGACGTCGGCTGACCCTAGTTACCTGTGGTTGGCCTGGCCATGCGTCACTCAGAAAACAACAGGCCAATCAGAAGAGAGGCTCATGAATATTAATTAGACATGCCAAAATCGACCTGCTCTCAGCGGAGCTCCTGAGAAAGGAGCTGTAAAAATATATTAAGATGGTTTTTAGTACTTATACTGCAAATATATATTCTTAAGGACATCAAAACCTAAAATAAAACTCCAAAAAGGTGTAAAATATGGGACCTTTAAAGCAATTATGCACATGCATGGACGCTCAAACAGCTCATGATGTAGAGATCAGCATACTTCATTCCAGTCAATCTAAGGTCATACTGTTGACAGTCGTCATATTTAAATGGCTTTTGTCATCAAAAGGGGTAGAAGTCACAATTTCGGTTCTGCCCGCTAGTTTCAAAGGAGAAATATGGTTGTTGTCCTTTTCTATGATGTTTAGAAGGAATTAATTCAGGCTTTGAAAAAGGAAGTATGAAATAAGCTTCTCTCCTTCTTTGGAAATGCAGGAAGGACTGAAAATCTGAAATGGTCTCCTCGCTGGGTTGTAACATAAGAAGTAACACTATATCCCTTTGCTTAACTGTCCATTTGCTTTACTATTTATAGTGTTTGTGTATCTGCCACTCTTAAGTGTGCCGACTTAAACAAGTATTCAAAGTGTACAGTCAACATCTTGTGTATACTAATCATTAAATTTAACATGAAATGGAAAATGTTACTACATTCAAAAACGTGTTAAGTACTTGTTCAATGTTTGTTCAAATTTCAAGCATATTAAATTAAATTAATTACATTTAAAACCCATTTTAAGAGCCATTATTGTTTTTTTTTTTTTTTTTTTTTACCCATTTAAAAATATTAAAAGAGCTCCTTTTAAATAAATCTTTGTATGTCCCGTATTTTATCACAGAAGGGAAACCAATCAATGTAATATTTTCCATTCCTTTAGGTGGCCAGTCTAAACCCAAAGGATAACTCTTATTCGTTGAAGGACTTTATTTTCCGTGAGGTCCAGAAGGACTGGCCGGGCTACACGGAGGATGAGCGGGTTCAGGTTGACAGGATCCTGGCACGGTAATACTCATCGGTCACATGCAATTAAAAGAAGAATGACTTTTTAATTGAACATGAATCATTTTTTAGAGCCAGTACAAGAGATCCCAAGAGTATCTGGCAAAGCTTAAATTAGTTCATTTTTATTTCCTCCAACAGTAAATTGGGTTTGAATTCAGAGTCTGTATCTTCCAGCAGTCCAACCAAAGAGCCAACGTCCATATATTAATTATGAATATATTTTAAAATTATATTTATATCATTATATGTATATATTAGGGGTGTATCAGTACACAGAAATCACGGTTCTGTCTCGTACCTCGGTTTTGGGATCATGGTTCGATGCGAGTTCGGTACAACAGGAAATGTTTTTTTTATTTGAATTAGATTTGTATAATTTCAAAATTTAAAGCAAAAACTTTAGATTTGTGAAATTATGCTACTTTAGACACCTGCACAAAACAAAAACGGCAGACAAACTGAATGAAAATGCAAATTTATTCCCTGACAGCAGGTGGCACTTAATGGAACAGCAATACAGCGTTTCCTTGGTTATCGCTGTTAACAAAGCAGCTGCGCTTATAAACGCTAATATACATTATATGGAGGTAAGAGGAAAAGAAAATGGAATCGAAACATCAGTTAAACCATTGAGTCACAAAATGATTCACTGTTTCAAAGCGCTCTAATCGGATTGCGTATCGCAAAGCATTTGATTCGTTACTTTAAAGCGTGTATCGCAGATCATTTGAGTAAGATCGGGACCTCGAAGTGAGATCGTGGGATGTTTTTGATCTCCACCGGGGCACGGATGCCCCCCGGCAAATCGTTGTCTGTGTGTGTATATACAAATTTATGTGTATGTGTGAAAGTAAAGGATCATATAAAATTATATTATTCTTTCGATTAATATACATTTTAATTTAAAATATAATTATGAACCATGTACAAAAATTGTCACTCTTTGCACATCCATGAATTTGCAGACCCAAGAATAATGTGTTTCTTGCTATTCAGAAATGCCAACCTGAGACTGACTTCATTGACCCTCTGATGTCAAGGAAGCCCCGAATCTCCCATCTCAGTAACCGAGGACCCCCCTCCTCTTCAGGTCGTCATTCTTCAGTGACTGAAGACAAAAAACCCGCACCCACGGCCGCCTGCCCAGGACCCTCTTTTCACCCTACCCCTGTCACAGGCTCCAGTTCAAACTCCCCCAGTACACCGGAGGGTGGGGGGTCTCAGGACCTGCCCCTGGACCAGAGCTCTATATGCGGGAACTCCTCAGAGAGCTACGCCCCCCGCAGCCATACACCCAGCCCACCCAGCCAGCCAATTTCCACGACGTCCCCCTCATCCTTCTCCACCTGTACTGTCTCTACAACCACCATTACCTCCACCACTACCACCAGCAGCGGCCACCATGTTTCTTCTGCCGCATCTTCTACAGCCAGCCATGATGGCAATGGCAGCAAAAAGCCCAAAAAGTCCAAGAAGCACAAAGATAAAGAGAGGAAGCAAGAAGGAGAGCGAGAGATGGATAAGGACCGAAAGAGGGATAGAGAACATCACCGGGAGGATCACTGTGATAAGGAAGCACAGCCCAAGAAGAAACACCGGAATGAGGCAGAACAAAGACACATTCTCGCCAACATCAGCCACGAATCGGACAGAGAAGGTTTGTTTTGCTGTGTATATGGCATTTGTGGTCCTCCATATGCATTTTGTGGTGTTAACATTATTAATTAATTAATTGATTATTATAAAAATACATTATTAGCTGCATGTCAGCAGTTGTGAATTAAAGATGTGTTAAGCTTGTCAGGCCTGATGAATAGCTTGATTTATGTTCCATTTGCCTTTGGCCCTCAATTTAGTTCACAACATATTTATGTTAGTCTGTTGCTAAAGACACAAAGATCATGTCACATGTGCTTGTTAGAGGGCAGAATTCCATGTTGGTGCATTGACTGGTGTGTCTTTTTTACAGCTGGCAAAGACAAGCTTGTCAACAGCACTGAACTTCCAGTCCCAACAAAGCCTGATTACATAATGTGAGTGAACTTTGACTCCTTTATAGTGTCTTTCTGCATAAACCCTCTGCATCGCATACAATAATAATATAATAAAATATAATTATATATTTATAAATACATTTGTTTTATATATATATATATATATATATATATATATATATACAGTATCTGTGTCTTGGCAATCTTCTTATAGCCTACGCCATCTTTATGTAGAGCAACAATTATTTTTTTCAGATCCTCAGAGAGTTCTTTGCCATGAGGTGCCATGTTGAACTTCCAGTGACCAGTATGAGAGAGTGAGAGCGATAACACCAAATTTAACACACCTGCTCCCCATTCACACCTGAGACCTTGTAAAACTAATGAGTCACATGACACAGAGGAGAGAAAATGGCTAATTGGGCCCAATTTGGACATTTTCACTTAGGGGTGTACTCACTTTTGTGGCCAGCGGTTTAGACATTAATGGCTGTGTGTTGAGTTATTTTGAGGGGACCGCAAATTTACACTGTTATACAAGCTGTACACTCACTACTTTACATTGTAGCAAAGTGTCATTTCTTCAGTGTTGTCACATGAAAAGATATAATAAAATATTTACAAAAATGTGAGGGGTGTACTCACTTCTGTGAGATACTGTACATATAGAAATGAGCATAAGACCTATCTAGAATCTTATTGTCCTTTTATTGTATATTGTAGTAAGTACACAGCAGTGATATCTATGGATCAGAGGCAGCACTATAAGGATGACTTCAATGCAGAATATGATGAGTATCGTATCCTTCATGCCCGCGTTGAGAGTGTTACTCGTCGTTTTACAAAATTGGACACCCAGTGTAGACAACTGGCACCAGGAACTAAAGAGTACCAGGTAGGAGAACAAGATTTCTTTTTTGTTCTTATATTGCTCTTGTTTACTTTATATAAAGAATTGTATATGTTTATGTATATACATTTTAAATTCCAAGTAAAAAGTGTTTGTCTTTGCTTAATTAACAGGAAGTGCATGAACAGGTGCTGCAAGAATATAAAAAAATTAAACAAGTAAGTGTAACTGAGCATGTCTAACCCATCTGGGTCCTTTAGACCGCAAGTAAACCATAAAAATAGTATGTTAATTCACACATTATGTTTGCTTTACAGCACAGCCCAAAATATTATGAAGAAAAACTGCGCTGTGAGTACCTGCACAACAAACTGGCCCACATCAAACGGCTCATCGCTGACTTCGACCAGCGGAGAGCGCAGTCCTGGCTGTAGGGCACAGGACCAAGCAACCCCTTTTGGCCAATCAGAGCGCTCCCTAACCGGAGGACCATCTTGAGAAGAGTGTGGGGATCAAACAGTTCCTTTATTTATTCTATTTACAGATTCCCCACTCGCCTGTTTTCCCATATCTGTCCTTCATCACTCTATCTTCTTTTCTTCCTTAGTCATCCTTTCCCATACCTTTTTATTCTTTCATTTTCTTTCTTTTTGAAGGACTTTTCAAAAGAAAAAAAAAAAGACAAAGAAAAATTAAACATTTTTGAATGCAAAAAGAAAGTTTGCAATGCAAAACCGTGGGCCTTACAGCGCATATTCCTTGAAGCCTTTTGCACAGTGGTGATTGAGCCAGTACATGTGAAAAGTGGCCATAAAAGAGGGTTTTTCCAAGAGCCTTGAGACTTCCTTTCTCCCGATGGCCCTGTTTTTTTTTTGTTTTTCTTTGAACAGCATCAGTGTTCACACCCACAGTGCAAATGATGCCTTAAGGTATTAATACACACACCCATCTATGTGGCATCAGTGAGAATTACAAGCACCCAGGGCAGTGAGGAGAAATTACTATGACCTGATCGCAGGTCCAGCGCACATTCGTGGAAGGTGTGATCGATGTTTGTTTGTGAGAGCTAGAGAAAGTGACGCGTGAAAATTGTCAGTGTTTTTGTTAATTCTTGGGAAGGATTGTGAATCAGAAACTACAGGAAGAGAGAGGCTCTGGGAGGAGGGTTGGATATAAACTATAAAAGAGGGTGGGGGACGGAAAGCAAAAATCCCCAAAAAAAGCTGCTATATTTAGTTTTTTCTTTGGACAGCCAGAGCCTTTGGGATCAGTCTGGCTCGTGTTACATGTTCTTAATTTGGGCCTGCTCTAAGGAAATCATCGAATCATCTTGAAAGCAAAGGTGCTACTGATTTATGAGGAAATGCATTGAGCAGAGGCAGACCTGTATATCCATTTCAAATGTATTCATTAATTATTACAAGTCTCAGAGCAGAGCTATTTATGAAATATGAATAGAATTATATATTTTTTGTTTTTGTTTTGAATTAAAAGGAATTGCTGGAATTGAGCATTGAAAAAGAAACTGATCAAATATGCATACAAGTCTTTATTTCACAATATCATTAGTGATAAACTTCTTAAAGATTAAGGGAAACGTTATGTTTACAAAACCTGTGTGGTAGAAAGTTTTGCCAAAAAAAGTTATAAAAACGCAACAAAAATGCTTTCAATCCTATGTTTATGGTCTGGAATAAAATGCGTTTCTCTGAGTGACATGACACTTTGTCATCTAAAAGGAGATGGTGGTCGAACACTTACAGTGTCTTGATATATTTATTTTCTTTGATCATTGTTTAGGGAAAAGATCCAGAATGCAGCTTTGTGAATCAGCTTTGAAATTCATTGCTTTCAATTATGCAAATTCTAACTGGATCAAATAGCTCCATGGTGGATTCTGATTGGCTAGTTGATTCTTGAGGCTTGCTGCATTGTATTTGCACATTTTAAGATGTCTTTTTGAAATCTGAAAAATTCTCTCTCCTCTTATGTTCACAATTATTCCATTGTTAAAGCCTGGGAGGTGATTCCTTTGTTTTCCAGTGTTGTAAATTGAAATTGAAAAACCTGAGTGAACCATTCTCAAAATAACCATCGACGAATGTTTGTTTTCAATATTTGGGGTGGCAGATGGCATCTTACTTGCTTTTTTTTTTTTAGGGGCTTACATGTTATCAAACTCCCCAAGATGTTCTGTTGTGTGAGCTGCTGTTCATTTTAGTCGCCATTTATAGACTGGATGCAATGTCAGATGACAACCAAATACAAGTCGAGGTTATTTAACAGAGAATTTGAGCAGCACTTTACTTCAAAGATGCTTATTTCCTCAGCATTCAGATAGCCTCCACACTGAACCCTAAAGATTTTGGATGACACTAAGAAGTGTTGCTTTGAAAGGAGAATGTGCATCTAGACATCGAACTCTGTATCATTCTAATTTGGGTTGGGTGGGGAAGTATTTGGTGATGTGTGACCAACACCTGTTTTCTTTCCCTTTTGAAGAGACTGTGCCTCTGACACCACTAAAAAGAGATGTTAATGTTGAATAATAAGCCAAGAATCTCATAACACTGTCATCTCGTATTAAAGGTGGGATGGGGGTTGTTTCAGACTGTAAGAGAATTCCTGACCTGTCCACCTAAAAATGTATGAAATCAGTTCAATAAAATGTGAACTTGACTTAAGATCTTTTTGTGTGTTTTGAATGAGTCATTGAATCATTCACCCAAAAGAATCATTAACAACACCGAGTCATTCACGACCGAATCAAGTATGTTACTGAGTGTCTACAAATCTCCAGCAACTCTAGAAAAATACGCGTTTTGCTAACTGACTTTTATCAAGGAATAAAACATAAGAAAGCAGCCTATACGAATTCCGAGTGCCAGTAATGTCCTTAAAGGTATCATATGATGCGATTTCAATTTTTCCTTTCTCTTTGGAGTGTTACAAGCTCTTGGTGCAAAAAGAAGGTCCGTAAAGTTGCAAAGACTAAAGTCTCGAATCCAAAGAGATATTCTTTATAAAAGTTAAGAGTCAACCACGCCTACCTAAAACGGCTCATTTTAACACGCCCCCACATGTCTACGTCATGATGTGGGAAGATTTGCATAACGTCGCCCAAATGTTCACGCAAAGATAGAAGGCGTAACTTTTATTCTCGATGTAGTATTGTTGCCGCCGCCGCCATGTCGTGAAGGCACTGTGTGATTCGTTATGAAAGCGAAACTGCTTTGTTTGTCCTTCCAAAAGAAGACGATATCCGCTTCGTCATGCCTGGAGCTGATCCGTGCTGGTTGCTGAGGAAATTCATCAACTTCGCGCTATGGATCGCCGGATCGACTTTCACCGTGGACAAAGCGGAGTCCAGCCCGGGGTCGTCACATGTGGTTGCCGCAAGCCTGCCCGCCGCGCCGTTCTCAAGCCCACCGGCCGCCGCTGTATTTCGTTGTGAAAGCGAAACTATATTGTTTGGCCTTCCAAAAGAGGACACGACTAGAAATCAGTGATTAAGTTGTATTTACAACACTGTTCCAGAACAGTTCAACCCAAATATTCAGATGTGTAAAATATTAATTTTATGGAGGACTGTTTCCTGATCCTGGGAGAGTAGACTACAATGCTGGCTGTGCTGACTCACAGACTGTAAGTAGGTTTTTATATATTTATATTTATATTATAAATTATCTATATATATTATATATTTATATATAAATTTGCCACTGATGATTCAAACGCGAGCTTTGAGTAGTGCTTGTTTGTCATTTCTCCGATCACAAATGCAGACATGGTTTTATGTTTACGCATCGCGATGCAATGCAACGCGTAAAAAGACAGTATAAGTCATTATAATCCGTAATTATGTCCCCACTGGATGCAACAAATGCCTCGTTTATAATGGGTTTTAATGTTTTTGTCTCGTCGCTCCGACCGGGACACGGCATCACAGTATGGTAAGGGGCGTAACATTTCCGTCACACGCTTGAGGTATTCGGCCAATCACAATGCACTGGATAGCTGGCCAATCAGAGTACACCTCGCTTTTCAGATCGATGAGCTTTGTAAAAATCTAAGCATTTCAGAAAGGTGGTGCATAGAGGAGAAACAATAATGTACAGTATGTGGAAAATAATGTGTTTTAACCTTAAACCGCATAAACACATTTCATTACACCAAATAATGTTCTTTTTAGCAACGTCATATGACCCCTTTAATGTATTTTATTGTGCATGAGTATTTTTTTTTTGTTTAAATTTTTTTACACAAGTCTCGTTAAGTGCCGCTCCGGCCAGAGGTGTAAAGAGTACCTAAAAACCATACTTGAGTAAAAGTACAGATACCTTACAGTGAAAATTACTCCACCACACGTTACAAGTCATCAATTCCAAAACAACTTGAGTAAAAGTCTTAGACTATCTGATTTTAACAGTACTTAAGTATTTTACTTATACTAAATATAGGCTCAAAGATGCACTAGTCAAAGAGACATGCCAGTGATAAACTGTAATGTTGTGGAGAAGCTGGGGAAAACAGGCAGAGGCAAGGATCTATGTGCTGGTATTTCACAGAAAAACTAGAACAAACAATAAGGCAAAAACCAAAGGGAACAAAGAACAGAATGACTGGCAAACAGACAACCATTACATTCAACAACTCACAAGAAACTAAAGAAAAACTAGGGCTATATATACACACAGGGGGCTAACAAGCTTAACAAGATAAGACACACCTGGGGAGACTAATCAAGGGGAACCAATGAACACACGGACTACAAACTGACTACAAACACCACGGGAGACAGGAAGT